TAAGGTTTTCTATATATAATCTCAAATGCTTTTTCTGTATTCTATTGGATGATCATATGATTTTTGTCCTTCCTTTTGTTAATGTGGTATATCACATTGATTAGTTTGTGGCTATTGAACCATCCTTGCATTCCCAGAAGAAATCCCACTTGATTGTGGTGAGTGATCCTTTTACTTTTCATTGAATTTAGTTTACCAATATTTTTCTGAGGATTTTTCCATCTATGTTCATCAAAGATCTTGATCTATAATTTTCTTTTTTTGCCACATCTTTGTCTGGTTTTGGTATCAGTACTGGCCTGATAGAATGAATTGGGAAGCATTCCTTCCATTTCTGTATTTTGGATAGTTTGAAAAGGGTAGATATTAGCTTGTACTTAAACATTTGTTAGAATTCACCTGTAAATTACATTACTAGTAATTGGTCTGTTCAGACTTTTTGTTTTTCCTGATTTAATCTTGGAAGATCATGTTTCTAGAAGTGTATCCATTTAGGTTGTACAATTTTTGGCATGTTATTTTTCATAGTAATCTCTTATAATTCTTTGTATTTCTGTGGTGTCAGTTGTAACTTCTCTTTCATTTCTGGTTTTATTTATTTTAGCTCTCTCCTTCTCTCTCTCTCTCTCTCTCTCTCTCTCTCTCTCTCTCTCTCTCTCTCTCTCTCTCTTTGTCTTGATGAGTCTGGCTAAAGGTCTCTTAAAAAAAAGCTCTTAGTTTCATTTATCTTTTCTATTGTTTTTGCAATCTATTTCATTTATTTCCATTCTGATCTTTATTATTTCCTTCTGTTTTTAGGCTTTGCTTGGACTTCTATTTCTAGGCCCTTTAAGTGTACAGTTAGATTGCTTATTTGAAATTTTTCTTGTTTCTAGTGCTATAAACTTCCATCTTAGAACTGCTTTTCCTATGGTCCAAGGATTTTGAACTGTTGTGCTTCTGTCTTCATTTGTCTCCATGTATTTTTTAAATTTCCTCTTTGATTTGTTCATTGATCCATTGCTCATTTAGTAGTATTTGTTTAGCCTGTATGTGTTTGTGTTTTTTCCATTTTTTTTCTTGTAATTGACTTCTAGTTTCATACTGTTATGGTTAAAAAGATGCTTGATATGATTTCGATCTCAAACTTATTAAGAGTTGTTTTGTGGCCCTAACATGTGGTCTGTCCTGGAGAATGTTCCATGTGCCAATTACTGAGCAAGTTCAAAACATATGCCTAAGCTAAAAATAATGTGGCTCAAAACACAAAAATGTTGGTATCCTACAAATGAATTGGTTCATGTTCCAGTATTTCAGAAAGCACTCCCAGGCTTCCCTTGCCCAGGGATGCTCTGCCACTCACTGCCAGGGGACACTCAGTCCTGGAGGTCATTACACCAGGGTCACAGCTGCATGTGAAACACCTTCTCGTGTCATCTCTCTTCACCAGATGATAAGAGCTACATCATATCAGGCACCTTCAAGACCTCCCCACAGCCCCATCCCACAGTTGTCCAGTAAAGGCTGGCTTGATTCGCGGATGACGTGGTGTGTGACATGGTAGATGAGCACTGTGTCACACGGGCGGCTGTAAGCATGTTCTT